GCAGAAGCGGCATTAGTACAAAGGGTGAATGTGACAGTTTGTCCCTTTGGTGTAGAAAGACACAGAAACTGAAGCCATTCCACGGTTTGCTTTGTCCACAAAACCAGGCTTGGCAGCCACATGCTGAGGGTTGGGCATCCAAATGGACAGACTTTGGATTTGCAGAAGCGGAGCCTCCCAGAGCCACAAGCGGGGGCTTCTCCGATGCAAGCGGCAGGAGGTCCAGGGATGGCCGACTCCTTCCCCTATGCTCAGGGCGCATCTGCTGCAGTGAGGAGCAGGAAGCAGGCCTGCCTTCGCCAGCATGTAGGGCCAACCTCACCGCAGGTCTGTGCTCCTGAGCATGCTGAGAAGCGCCTGTGTAGACACGAGCTGCAGATCACGATGAACTGGATCACAATGGAGGTACCAGGTGAATGGGGTGTGGGCCTGTCCCTTTCTTTCTTCTCCCTCAGAACTGCCTACTGCCCACAAGTTTTTCCAGCTAACTCATCTGCATTCTGATTTTCATGTTGTCTTCAGGAAAACATCTTTTTTCTTTTTTTCCAGGAACCTATTTTCCCAATTCAGCGTTTCTATCTTAACAGTTTCCAATCTGAATATCAAAGGATTGGAACACTTTTTGCCAAGGTCTGATATACTTTCAGCCCCATCCCAGGACCAGGTACCCCCCAAAAGAGTGGTAAATTACATACAGGTATATACATTTTTTTTTAAAAAAACAAACTGAACAGTGTTTGGTCTGGAATGTGTTTAAGGAAAAGGCAAACTTTGCAGAGTGTGAGTAGACAAAGTGGAAGTAGTACTGGTTAGTAACATGCAAAGGTTGCATGCATCAGTGGAATCAGAGGACCTTCATTTCATTTGCCAGAAGTGATTTTGCAAACCTGGGAAAGAGCACATCTGATTTCTGTTTATGGAAACTGGAGGAGCTGTCCTTGCCTTCTGTTCACAGATCCTAAGGAATCCCTGTGGTACACCTGTGGAAGTTACATAAAGGGAATGTTGCTGGCTAAAGCTGAAGGGCTTCTGCCTTTAGCTGTGGAGAAATGGTTCCAGTGTGACTTCCCCAATGTCTAGAATCAATATTGGCCAAGGCTCTGGGTGGACAAGGGTCTAGGGTGTTCAAAGCTATTAAATACTGAATCTTCCTCCACTGGGTATGGCCTTTGTTTAAAATTGTTCATAAACATCCAATCTCAATGGGTTAATCAGGTTAGGCTGTCACTCCATGAGACAGAGGGTCAACCTCCTTTCAGGAGTCGATCATCTGGGCTCCGTTCCCTGTGTCCCCGACATTTTATGCCTTTGTTATAAAGGTGACTCTCCCTCTACTACCCACAATCCATCCAGGACACGATGGACACCAAGGTAGACAAATAGGATGGATTAATGCTGAATAGGTAAACTGAGTCTGGGGATCAATGTAAAAATCCTTTTATCAAACAGTTTATGTTTTCTTAAGGCCAAACATTGCTTATTTAGCCAAGGGCATCTTCTTTTGCCCTAAGTCAGACTGATGAGTTCCCTGCACACGGCACTGTAAGAGTTATTTGGGACCCTCTCAAAGGTTCTCTTGTGCCAGGTTGAGGCCGTGCCCTATCCTCATGCTGATGCTTTAGAAGTGACCAGAATCACTGCCAAGGTCAAGAACATTAAGCCACACTTGTTTTATCCTTTCTGTTCTACTATGAAGCTAGGATAGGAGGAGGTTGTGAACATCATCACCAACCACTGCAAAAGCCATCAGGAACTATCCATCCAGCTGGGCAGCATTCTCTTTTCTCAAGGGATTTTCATGGTTATATGGACATCCCTGAGTGGTACAAACAGTCCGTGTGCTCAGCTGTTAGCTGAATGGTTGGAGGTTCAAGTCCACCCAGAGTAACCTCAGAAGGAGGCCTGGTGATTTATTTCTGATAAATCAGCCACTGACAATCCCATGGGGCACAGTTCTACTCCAACACACATGGCATTGCTGTGAGTTGGAATTGACTCGACAGCAACATTTTTTTTGGTGCACAGCACTTACTCATGCTCTGTGTCTCTCAGCTCCAATTGTCTTTGTGACACCCCAACCTGATGCTCTACACCCCTATGTGCTCAGTGAGAGAATGGGGAGCTGGGGCAGCCAAGACCCCAGCAGTACTCTGGCCAAAGATAGCAGCAATATTTCCAAAGGCCACAGGGTCCAGACTGGGGCATGGACTCAGTGCTCCAGACAAATGCCAGCTTCTCTTATTGCCTCACTTAGGAGATGATTATCAGGGAACCAAAGGAGACAGAGAGGAAGTTGAGGGAAAGACCATCCCAGGATACAATTTCAAAATTTAATATTTATGTGAGAAGAAAAAAAAAAAAAAAAAAAAATCCCTTGCTTTGAAAAGGTAAAGAGATCCAGTGTGGGGCTTGGGGTTAGGAAGAAGCCTGTGATGCGTCCATCCTGAGCTTGGCTAACATGGTGGCTTCATGGATGAGTCTAGCCTTGTTGCACATATTAAATGCTCTGCTAATATCTGTTATATTTGACATGCCATCCCACTTATCGGGTCTTAACAAAAGGTACATTCTGGGTTCTCTTGCCATTTTGTAATAAGACATAAACAATACCAACTACAGTTGAAAGATAACCTCTTTATCCTTTACCACGAAGAAGGAGCAAACGTTCTTCTGTGTGGTATTTATTTCTCCTCTTCCTAAAACAAAAGGAAATAATCTAAAAGGCATCCTGGGCCTGCTCTGATGTCATGCCCAACAGAGTTTACCATTAGCCTGAAGCCAGCCTCCACCTCCTGGTACTGCATTACTGAGACCTGATATGTGACAGGGGAGCAAAACATGGCCAAGGACTGACTTCAAACAGCAAAGAGGACATATGCAATGGAGAACATCTCTCAGCTGCCCTGCACTTTCCAGGTAAGACATCCTTTCAAACTAATTGCATATACCATACACCTCGTATATTAGCTCCAGAAAATACTTTCATCACCAATAATTGAATCTGGCTTCAAATTTTGCTTTCTAAATAAAAATGATGGTGTACAGCACCCAGCACAATGAGCCAATGACTATTCAAGCACATATGATAGGTCCAAATTCAGGTAAATCATCACCCCTTGCAACATTCTGTTTACTTTTTTTCTTATACTTTATGAGCTGGAATGTCGCCCCCCCCCCCAAAAAAAAAAAAAAAAACCTACTGCCATTGAGTTGATTCTGACTCATAATGACCCTAAAGGACAGAGTAGTACTTCCCCATAGGGTTTCCAAGGTTGTAAATCTTTATGGAAGCAGAGTACCTCATCTTTTTTGGTTAAGGAACATCTTAATAAGCCTTCTGAAGAGATTCTGCAGATTCCTCAAATACTTCCCAAATACTGTTTACAGTATTGAAGGACCCAGCTTTGGTGAGGTTTGCTTATTAACTGGTCTTTTGTCATTTAATCAACTTTTCCAGGCTTTTTACACATTTCAAAGAGTAATAGCTTGCATTTCCCTCTGTATCCATGTGTGGCAGACTCCAGGCAGTATTCTTGCCAAGTGGCTGAGTGCCTTCAAAACATGTGGTGGTAGTGGTAGACCAGCTGCCCATCTTTCCAGCTGCATTCATACACATTAGTACTACTATCATACACATTGTAACTACTGAACCTAGTAACACTGTGTGTGTGTGTGGGGGGGGACATTTTGGCTTGGACATATGCAAAGGTGTGGAAGTGACAAAGAAGCTCTGACCAGCAGGACCTATTGAGTCTGTCCACCTGTAGGAGAAGGGCACAAGGACAACAGCCAGGGAAGCTGGCTCCAGGATTACCATTGTAGCATCAGGCAGAACTTCCAGGACCCTCGGCAGGCTCAAGGCTGACTGTGCAAATTTCAGACTCAGTCAGGATGGGCATGATGGTTGTGATGGGTGCTGGATGCACGTGAGGGCCAAGGGAGGGCTTTTGCAAAGCTGGTATCTGGAGTCACCTGCTTGGTTTGACAAGAGCTCATCCCTGAAGCCTCCTTAAAAAGTGGTTTTGCCTTGGGATTCACACTGTGCCCCTCTGTCTGCACACTGTCCATGACCTGGTCTGATCTGCCTGGGACTTTTCTGGTTTTAGCAGTAAAAACCTGGTGTTCTGCTAAGTCCTTCAATCCCAGATACATCAGAACAGTTGGAGGCCCTACTACTGGAGGTCTTTGGTTTTCAGATTTCCTTGCTCATAGGGCTGCTTCAAGCCCCGTTGGGTCTGGCTAAGGTGCTCTCTGGACATTGCTGAGGTGGCCAGTATCCTGCTGCCTTAGGAGGTAGCCTTCCCTTAGCACCTGAGACAATTGGATTCTCTTTCAAAGCCATTCCCCTCCCCTCCCTCAGACAGCATTCATATTAAGAATAGGGCAAAAATTTAGAGAAAACACTTGTGTGAGTTGGAGGCTATTTTAAGTGTTAGGTAAGAAATGCATTTTTTAAGAAGAGAGAGAGAAGGGGGTGGATGGAGAGAGAGAGGTAAGTTTTAAGACTGCATAGCCTGAGAACAGAGTTTTCATCCGTGTTACCCCTCATACGAAATGAGTTCTGTGCATGGGAAATGTCCTTCAAATAAAATGGCACATCATTCCTTTTGGAAAGGAGGCTCTGGAATCTTGCTTTGTGGGTACCTCATTCACAGCAAGGTCAGCTTGCCAAGTGTAGCCCCGGGTGTTAGGGAGGAGGCTTACTTCTGACCACTGATGACTTGCTGCCACTAGGGTCTCTGGTTGACATGCCATTTTTTGGAGGAGCTGCTAGGAAGGGTTTTCTGCAGGATCCCTCCCGTCCCTATAGCCGTCCCCCCCCAAGACTTCCTGGGAGAAGACAGCCCTAGGGAACTGCAGAGTTATCTTCTTAGTGAGCTGCCCTTCCCAAGAAAGGGGAGGAAAAGAGAATGAACAGAAGTAAAGTGCACTCTTAGCCTTGGAGACAGATGCTCAATCCTCTTATTAGAATTTTTAAAAATACCTTTAAACTCCCTTTAGAGGAAAAAAAAAAATCTTTTAAAGGGTTAACATAAATCTCTACTTACTGAAGAACAGAAGATAGAGGTCATGTAACTAGAAAGGACATATTTCTTAAAAGAAAAAAACATAACCTAATGCACAATATTTACCAATAGTTAAATAATCCAGTTGAAACCTTTTTTTGTCATTAATGAAAAAATACAACATAGATGGTGACCTACATTGAGAAGAGTGGAAATGATAGGGAGTTGGGGTGAGGAATAAGAAGGTCCGTTCAGTTAGAGCTTTGCAAGATTCATATGTACAGCACCAGATCCTATTAAATCAGCTCCCCTTGAGTCAGTACAGTTTGTGAGAAATGAACACTTCAGAATTGCAGTATAAAATATGGCCATAAAAAATCTTCTGTCTTCCAGTCCTGTGCAGGAAGGTGCACCATGCAAGGTGAGATCACTCTGGAGGGGCTCTTGGCGACCCTGGGGGCACCCCTTCACCAGCCCCTCCCGAGGCTCAACCCCCAGGCCCCGCCCCCTGGGCCCTGCCTCCAGAGCCAGTCACTTGCTGCCAGTATGCACTGTCGTCACAGTGGTGGGCCTCGGTCTCCGCTCAGCTCCAACTCCTGAGACCCCTGACGAGGAGGAAATGAAACTACAGAGGGTGGCGGATGCCAGGCCTGGAAGGGAACAGTGGACACAAGGGGGTCAAAGCTTCAGAAGGGTTTTTGTAGATAGAAAAAATACCCAATCCCCCTTCCCACTGCAAGGGTATCAGATAGGCTGGTATTATGAGAGGTCAAACTTCACATACTTTTCTCTAAATTTAACCTACTGTTATGGGTTGATTTGCATCCTAAAAAATATCCTAAAAAACAATGAAGTTACAGTCCTAACCTGTGTACCTGTAAATATGACCCAGCATGGAAATAGAGGTTTTGTTTTGCTAAGGATGATATACCAAAGTAGAGTGGGTCCTAAGCCTAATCCCTTCTGAGTGGTTGTTGTTGTTGTTATGTGCCTTTGAGTCCACCCGACTCATAGCAACCCCTCCTTGGGTTTCCCAGGCAGTATCACTATGGAAGTAGATTGCCCCATCTTCCTTCCAAGGAGTGGCTGGTGGGTTTGAACTGCCAGCCTTCTGGTTAGCAGTCAAGTGCTTTAGGCACTGTGCAAAGAACAGAATAAGACAGACATAGATAGGGGAAGATATGCCATGTGAAGATACATCTACAATCAGCCAAGAAATGCCCAGGGCTACAGAAGTGGAAAGGAGCTCTGGTAGCATAGTGCCTAAGGCACTTGGCTGCTAATCAGAAGGCTGGCAGTTCAAACCCACCAGACACTCCGTGGAAGGAAGGTTGGGCAATGTACTTCGGTAGTGATATTGCCTTGGAAACCCAAGGAGGGGTTGCTATGAGTCAGGGCCGACTTGACGGCACACAACAACGGCATAGAAGTGGAAAGAGAAAAGAGTGTTCCTCTACAACTGAGAGATGGAACCTAGCTCTGCTGATGCTCTGAATTTGGAATTCTGGCCTCTAGAACTTTGAGAAAATAAACTTCTGTTCTTTAAAGCCAACCATTTATAGTACTTTTTGTTATGGCAGCCTTAGGAACCTAAGACATCTACTGATAGGAAAACATTTCTATCAAAATGCTTTGTTCTTAGGACCAATCTCCTCTCATTTTTTCACTGTAATAAATATAACTGACTGGCATTAGATAACTACATGGTTTAAGTCACCATAATATAATAGGCTCCATTTATTGAGCAGTTACTACGTACTAGGTACTGAGCTGGCTGTGGAAAATATACTGTCATTGTAAGAAATATGTTGTTGTTTCAGTCAGCTAAACTAAAACCTGTCCACCATGGGTGACCTTAATGGTATTTGAAACACTGGTAGCATAGCCTTCCAGCCTCACAGCAACACATAAGCTACCACAGTACGACAAACTGACAGATGAGTGGTGGGTAAGAAGTGGAAGAATTGTTTATTTCTCACAACAGCTGTGTGAAGCAGTTATCTTCAGAATGAAGAAAGAATGTGGCTTCTGGTTGGTGTATTGTTTATACTCTTAGCTAAAAAGTGTTTTGTGACACAGAGATAGGACTTTGTCAGGAGGACGTTCAATTATTCCTGTGTGAACTCAGTGGCCCTTGGACCTAGAAAAGTTCCTTACAAGTTGCCTAAAATTCTCTCTAAGCAGGTATGTTGTTATCAGAAGGATTTGATGTGCGATGGATAAACTGCTGATTAGCTCCAGCAAGGCCTTTCCACCAGTGACCTTCATAGGTTCAGACATGGGGAGCTCCATGAAATGAATCATTAAGATGGGCTTTGCTCTTGAGTCTTGTGAATTCAAAGGAAGGACCAATTGTGAGGTTCCCTTTGAGAAGAAGGTGGAAAGGATACACATTGAAATGCAAATGGGTGTCTTTAGTAATGTACTACCATGTCTGGGGAAGCTCATGGAGATTTCTGAGGAAAATTTAAGGGCTGGACATTGCTGAAGAGATGGGATGCTCATTTAGAGAAGAAGGGAACCCTTTTCTGAGCCAATGGAAAGGAGTATGATGCCCCGGATAAGAGTTGGTAGAGTGGATTAAATAGTGTTTCCAAAACTTCACATCACCTGGAAGCTGTGACTATGACCTTACTTAGAGATACGGTCTTTGCAGATGTAATCAAGTTAAAGTGAGGCTATACTGGATTAGGTGAGGCCCTAGATCTGATAAGAAGGGGGAAATTTAGATACACAGACACACAGAGGAGAACACCACGTGAAGACGGAGGAAGAAAATGCAGAGATGGGTCCATGTAACATGTAGTGCCAAGGATGGCCAGTAACATTAGATGATAGGAAGAAACAAGGAAAGAGTCTTCCCCAGACCTTTCAGAGGGAGTATGGCCCTGCCAATACCTTGACTTTGGAGTCCTAGCCTCTAGACCTGTGTGAGATTGTATTTCTGTTGCTTTAAGCCAAGCTTTTTGTGATACTTTGCTGTAGCAGCTCTAGAAAAACAATACAGCTAGAAAAAGCTGAACTACTGCTCAGTGTCAGGGAGAGGAGGGTGATGGGAGATCAAGGTAATAGATCCAAAGTGGAGAGGAGCCATTAGAGTGGCCTAATAGGACATTAAGATAAATCTCTATATGGAGAGACAACAGGAGCAGGGAATGAGAGAGAGAGAATTAGGAAGAGTGTAATGTACCCTCACTGATGGGATACTCAGTGCAAAGATGAAAGATAATGAATGACTATTCCATTTTATTTATTGCAAAGCCAATGCATTTCATACAAATTAGCTCAAATTATCATCATCCTCATCATTATATATATATATATTAAAAGTTGATGAGATCAGACTATCCCGAATCTTTGCCACCCTATACTGAACCCCTCAGAGTGACTGAAAAGCGAGGAGGCAATCAGAGGGGAGGGAGGTATATCAGAAAGCACTTGGGCTTTGTCCACACAGACCTGGCTGTGTGTAATTTGAGCTGCAGATTTCCCATCTGTAAATGGAAACAATAATACCTATGGTCCAAGGCTGCTGTATTAAATGGGGTAAGGTATTGACAGTGTCTGACAAAAAGCACATATTCAGCAAGTGATAGTTCCCTCCTTCCCACCCCAGACTGCTCTTAAACGCCAGTGGAAGAGTTGTGTTTTTACTACATACGCACAGTCTTTTTGGCTGGCCAAACTGAGGCTGCTCGAAACACTTGCATTGGAACTGTCCAGGCTGCTGCCAAGATGTAATTTCCTCATGTGTCTCACGACAGCTGTGGCATTAAAGGCTTGCTGAAATTTAAGAGACAAACAAACAAGAAAGCAGACAAAATATTCTGGCTAATTAGAAAAGACTCAGATTGCATCCTAGTATTTTTCCCATTACCCTAATCATTTAACTTCTTAAACATTCTTATGATACTATCTGTGGGAAACATACTGATCCTACTTCCCAAAGCATACTGATTTCTTTTAAATCTCCTTCCTCAAAATATATTTTGACAATTTTTAAAAATAATTTTCTTCTGATATATGAAATATATAAGATAAATATAAGCCAATTCTCTACATGATTTAAGAGAAATGACAATTACAATAAAAGGCATATCATACTACCTTCACATGTGGTCTTGTAGATTAGTTTCTATTTTTCTATTACCGGTACTGCTGTTCTACATGATAACAACTCCTCTGAATAATCTGTTGTTTCTGTGTGCCACTGAGTTAATTCCAACTCACAGTGACCCTATATGACAGAGGAGAACTGCCTCATAGGGTTTCCTATGTTGTAACCTTTATGGGAGCAGATAACCAGGTCTTTTCTCTCATGGAGTTTCTGGATCAGTTTGAACCACAGACCTTTCAGTTAGCAGCTGGGCACTTAACCACTGTACCACCAGGGCTCCTTTCTGAATAAAATAGGTCAGTGATATTAATTTTGTTTCTGTATAGAATCTCACTGTTGGGGTTTGTGCCAAAACAGCCAGCACTTAATTCCCCACACTGGTTAGAACATAGAAAGAGTTTAGGTAACAAATTGCTGATCATGAAAACTCAATGGTTTAAATCCATTAAATTTTTACCAGAAAATACTGAGGAGCTCAACTCAGATTTCCTACACTCTTCCCTCAAAAAAACCCCAACTCATGCCAACCCATGTGTGTCAGAGCAGAGCTGTGCTCCACAGGTCTCAGTGGCTGATTTTTCACAAGTAGATCCTTGGGGCTTCCTTCTAAGGTGCCTCTGGGTGGACTCCAACCTTCACCTTTTTGGTTAACAGTAAAGTGTGCTAAACATCTGTACCACCCAGGGAATCCTTTTTTCCTCATAGCACTTCTTTAATAAAGCCATCTACTTAAAGTGCCAGCAAATTGAAGAAATACACAGATGATGATGCTGTTTAAGAAACAGTGACTGAGTAAGAGCTGGCAGTCCTGTTGTTTTTGAATCACAGAGAGGAACTGTTAAGTCACATACTTTGTCTTTCTCACAATACAGCACTCCAAGTCTTTATCGGTTAAAATTAGCAAAATTATTTCAGTGAAGTTTTAGGGAATTTAGTCCAAACTCAAGTGATAAAAAAAACTCACTGCTTTCAGTTGATTCCAACCCACAGTGACCCTGTAGGGCAGAGTAGAACTGTCCCATAGGGTTTCCAAGGCTGTATATCTTTAAGAAAGCAGTCTGCCATATCTTTGATGGGTTCAAACTGCTGACCTTTCAGTTAGCAGCTGAGCACTTAACCACTGTACCATCGGGGCTCTACTCAAGTGATAGTAAGTAACCTTTATAAATAAGAAAGGCTTAAATTGTAGAGCAAGTTTCATGAGAGCGGTTACATTCAATGAGAATTTAATAAGCACTAGACTTACTCTCCATTTGCTTTTTGCGAAGTTCTTCCGGATCTGGGCGCTGACAGACTCGTGGATGTTTTTGTTGAGGGCTGTGTCACCAGCAATCCTGAAACAGAAGCAAAGATGCTTCTTCAGAAGTGTTTCTCTGGGGGCTCTGACACAGGGTTCCAAGCTGCTTTTCTACTGCCTTCCTCAGGCAAGGACAGGGTGGGTCACCACTGCCACTTCTAGCCTGTTTATTACATCCTATGGCTCTTCTCAAAGCCCATATGATCTGCCACCACTACCATCAAATTTCAATCCTTCAAATTTTTACAAAAGTCCTCTACACTCACCCAGGACCCATTAACATTTTCCTGGTTGGCATCAGTACGTGGTTCCCATTTTCTTTTTCTACCCTAATTCCTGAAACATCAGAATCATGGTAACAATGCAGACTGAATTCAGTTTTCCATCCTCCTTCTAAACCCTCTCTCCCTCCACATCAGCTTTTTACCAGCAACACTTCATCTCCGTGGTTTCAAGCTGGTTCCCTGCCTGGCCTGATCACCAGATCCCCGGCCAGGACCCTGCTTTCCAGCTCCAATGTACCTGAGGTCCTTACTCTCAGCCCTCACCAGGACCTCTGCCTGATGGATCCTGCTCACAGCCCTGGGCTGGCAGCTTGGCTCCATCCCAACTGACGTGAGCTCTACAACATTCTACTCACCCACACCCATGACCCCTGTTGCCCACTGATCCCTTGAGCTCGGAGATGGGATTCCAAGCCTTCATTCGGCTACATTTGGTATATTTCCTGCTCCTACATTTCCTAGAAAAATTCCTGGTACTGCAACTAGGTCCAATCTACTTTCAGCTGTGTCCTTGATATTACTGGGCAATCTTATTTAGTTCTTGCTTATTCCTTAACCTTATCCTATTATCAGGGAAGAAGTTAAGTTTACTCTTAACTTCCTTTCCTTGGAGTCTCCCCCATCATACTATCTCCTCCCTCTGCTCTACATCCCCCCATTCTCCCTCTCTCTTTTTTACGTCTTACACTTCCCACTTCTCCCTCTTGACTTACAATCTCCAGGCCTACAAATTACCTGGAGGTCCACTCACAGCCCATTCTTCTCTCCCACTACCCTTCTTAACCTAAATATCATCATCCCTCTATCTTCAACCACTTGGCTTTCTCCTCAATTTCAGCTTCTTCTGTGCTTTGAACCTTCCATCTTTCCTCTCTTTAACATTAAACTGTTAAATTCTAGGTTGGCATGGATGCCTAAGAACAGTTTATTGAATCTGGGAAAACTTAAGGGGCAGATGTAAGAGGTTCTCCACATCCTCCCTGGCTGGAAGGTAACTGGTAAGTGGGAAACCTCTCATCTTCCAGACCAAGACTGCCCTGGCATGAAACAGCCTGTAGGCCACACACTGTTACTTCCAACTGCTCTGGGAAGTGAAAGGAAATGCTTAGGGCTTAGTCAGACAAGAAATTATCCCTGAATAAAGAATATTTTCCTGCCCACCCAGGCTTTCACTTTAGACCTGAAAACATGGTTGATGGACCAGACCCATCCAGTCTGTACCGTGCTGGACCTAAGTTTAGAATACAATGCAGACTGAATTCAGTTTTCCATCCTCCTTCTAAAGTTGGAGGTTCCAGCATATACACTCCCCTGCTTTTCCCAGCAAGGATGAAAATACATTCCAAGATGACACTAGGAAATTAACTGTAGAGAATCAGATTTCTATTTCCAATAACTGAATTGTCTCCTTTTCCCAAACACACATCAATTAGATAGAAATAAGATAGTTGCATGGGCAAACATGTCCCAAACTAGACTAATGAGGAAGCTCATGGAGAACTGTAGAAGTCTTCATTAAGCTTTTTCTACTGGGGAGCTCATGTGAGTGCTTCCTCCTACATCATTTTTAAAAGCTATGTCCTCAGAAAAGGAAGCCAAATCAAACTTGTCAGTGGCCAGCTCTTTCTTGGAAACAATGCGGCAGAAGTGGTAGGGAGTATGGAATTCCTTGGACTGAGTATTACTTCAGGGTAGAGCCCTGTGCTCCAAAGCAAACGGGGATTCCAGGACTTGGGCTCCACCTGCATGGAGCAGCATGGCCTGAAACGCTTTGAACCTTGATCCTGTTCCCTGTGCTCTGCTCCCCACACCTTCTCTGTAGGTTCACATGAGCTGAGATGAGAGGAAAATGTAAATGCCCAATTATTTTAAGAATGCTTCGTGCTCTCTTCCCACAGTCCTAGGGTGTACTGCGGTTGGGAAAGAATCAAGCTGAGCAGAAGGTGGCCCAAGACACCCTGTCAGGTAATCTCCTGGGGGAGGTATGGCTACCCTGGGCCATGACAGCACAGCAAGGTCTTCCTCAAATATCCATGAAAACAGGATAGCCAGGAAGTTTACACTGACAATACATGACACTCACTGATGCTCAGTGTTACTAACTTCAGGATTATTCATCAACAAAGTGGGAGCCACAGATTCTTAGATTTGGAAGGGATCTTAGTTGTCAGACTATGCTCAAACCAAAAAACAAACTCATTGCCATCGAGTCAACTCTGACTCATACAGAACCCCACTGGGTTTCCAAGGCTGTAAATCTTTATGGAAGGAGACTGCCTCATCTTTCTTCTGCAGAGTGCCTGTTGGGTTCAAACCACTGACCTTTTGGTTAACAGCTTAATGACTTAACCATACCACCAGAGCTCCTTTTGATGGGCCTAGAAACTGTCAAATGCTTCTAATACACAAAGATTTCTTTATAAATCTGTACACACACACACACACACACACACATAACTATGGATACACAACTTTGATTCTTGTCTCATAGTTCTTACTTTCCAGTCTTAATTCCTGTACTAACAGTGAAACTTTCAGTTGCTGACTGAAAGGTTGATGATTCAAACCCACCCAGCGGCTCCACAGGAGAAAGGCCTGGTGGTCTGCTTCTATAAAGAAAAGCCTAGAAAAATCCTATGGGACAGTTCTACTGTGTCACATGGAATCACTATGACTTAGAATTGACTTGTCTCTACTTAACAACAACAACAAACAATGTATACGACATTCCTAGAAATCATATGCTTTTGAGGCCTTACTATCTATCCTTTTCTGCTCAAAGATCATCACCACTACCTTTCCTTTCTTATTTTTGCATTTTTTGTTCTTTGTATGTGGTTTGCTCTACCTCCACAGCTCTGAAATTATGTTTTTCCAACCACTTGCTCAAGATAGGCTTGGTGATGCTTGGTAGGTATCCAGACAGTCTTCACCAGTCTCCTGAGCTGCTTCACAATTTCTACGGACAACCAGAATTACAGGCTTTTCCCTTTTTCCAACTGTTCTAATAGCTGTTCCTGTGGATGGAACCCAGAAGAGTGGGTGGGGTCTCAGTGGATATTCAGGAGACGCTGCAGATGCACTTTGACCTGGAAGGTGCATGCTGTTTTCCCAGGGTGGTCACATTGTCTTTGCTCACTATAAGCTCTGAAGCTGGCTAAGTGCAACCTGTGGTCCCGATGCTCAGTATTGTCACTTTAGTGTTCTTGTCAATAAAACTGGAGATAGAGGTTCAGAACAACTCAAACCAGATAAAAGGACTCTGTTATGGTTCTTCTCCATAACTATGAATCAAAGAAATCCTGAATGGGTTTCCACAGTGCTACATGCAGTTCCCTGCTCTTTGGCTATAAGTCAGCAACCTGTTTGCTAGTTACCATGCACCACAATCTCTTATAGAGGCTTGGGGAACATTGGCAAGATGGGCTGGCTGCTTTCTACTAGGAGAGCCTTAAAAAGAGCCCTCTCTTACATGGGGTGGCCTTTTGGAGGCTAAGGGAAGGTGTTGGTGAACCCTGGTAGCTCAGTGGTTGAGCACTTAGCTGCTAACTGAAAGGTCAGTATTTGAACCCACCAGTCACACAATAGAAGAAATATGTGGTAATCTGTATCTATAAAGATTTCAGCCTTGGAAACCCTATGGGGCAGTTCTACTCTGTCCTATAGGGTCACTATGAGTTGGAATTGACTTGATGGCAATGAGTTTGGCTTTGGTTTTTGGTTTCTCCTAGCCCTAGGTGGCCCTGATTAAGTTGAAAGAGCAAGCGCAGAATAACAGATATAATTGATATGCTGAGCTGACAGCTTCCAGAATAGTGATGTTGATAAGGCTATGCATCACTGGGATAATTATTCCACTTTCTGGAGCTCTCAGCTGAATCCATGTTCTCCTTTGCCCGGGCAATTTTACACAAAAGAGACAAGCATATTATAAATGCAGGCATGGGGGGAGTTTTGGTGACACTTGAGTTGAATACATTCATTTATATCATTTTCCAATGTTTGACTTCTTGAGAGCTTTACAATGCACAGTAAAAATGATAAAGCACTGGGAAAAAATACACAAAAACACCGCCGTCTCAGGGAAGAAGGCATTTGCTTGTGCAGCTCAAAGGCTAGTAAATCTTACGATGTGGCACACGCTGAAGACTCCAAAGTCTTCATCTCTAGCTTGACCTCTTTCCTGAGCTCCAAGCTCATACAGCAAACTGCCTCATAACTCTCCATCTAGGTGATTCCAAGACTTCAAATTCAGTATACTCAAAGAAGAACTCATTCTCTTCTACTCAAACCTGATTGTCCTCCCAGCATAATCATCCTTTGGCCCCCTTAAGCTGGAAATTTGGGAACTATCTTTGCCTCGCTGTACCCCACCAGGGCTATGCCCAAGACCTGTATCTCCTCTACTCCTTGAGTGTCTCTCATAGCCCTCACCATCCCTCTCTGTCCCTGCTGTGCTGCCTCTGGGCAGGCCTCCATCATCCTGCTGGGACAGCATCCTCTCCACCTCTGGTCTGCCCCTTCCTGCCACCCTCCCACACCCCCATCTCCCACACTCATCCTCCATCCTGCAGCCAGACTGAGCTTTCTAAAATGCAATTCTTATCAACCTGCTTAAAATGCACTGGGGCGCCAAATGACCAAAGGATAAGTACAAATTCCTTAGTACAGCACAATAAAATCATGGTAATTAATATATATTTGAAATTTATTCCATGCCAGGTACTTTTCTTCTTTGCACGTATTATTGAATTCCCTCAAAAGACCTATGGGATATGTACTGTCATAATTTATTATCTCAGTTCTACAGATGAGGCCCAAAGGGTTAACTAGTTTGTCCTCGGTCACTCAGGACTTGGATTCTGTCAATACCAGAACTCACACCAGAACCCTGCCACTTCCTGCCTTCCTTTCTAGTCTCCTCTCCATACCCTCTTCTTTGGCCACTCTTACTCCAGAAATAACAAAAGCCCGTGATGCCATGAGTGGGTGTGAAGTGTTCAGCCCCCACACCAGGGCCTTGTGCTTGCTCTGCATGGAATCCTCTCTGTATCTTGGCTCACCTGGTGGAAGCTTTCTTGTCCTATAAGACTCAGCTTGGCCATCAGCCCCTCAGGGAAATCTTTCTGGTTTCTGCTGAGCAGACTCTGCCCTACTCACACCCTCCTCAGTAAAGCTGATCTTTCCCTTCTTTAGTTTCTGAAAAATGTCTGATGAAGAAGAGATGAGGTTTTCACTGGCATTCTTCCTGGGTTGGGCTGGATTAGTGAATGAGTACTAGGAAGCAAATCACTTCATTTCTTCAGAGCTCATTTTCCTCCCCTATATGATGATCTCAACCGTCTTTTACAGTGCTAAAGTTTATGAAGGGAGAAAACCTCACTGTCTTCATGGTCACTTCATGGAGCCATTGGCTGGGTTTGAACTGGCAACCTTTGGTTAGCAGCCTAGCACTTAGTCCATGAGTCATCAGGACTCATATACATACACATACATATGCACATGCATATGTCAAGATGACAGAGCTACAAAACTGCTTACTTTTTCAGAAAATTATTTCCTTTGCCCATAGGGGAATAGGATTTTGTGAGGCCAAATATGGCTATATGCTTGCTTGCTCATAGCTCACTTCTGCTTGCTAAGTCACTCTTCTACAACACTTGCTAGGGGCCTGCACTAAGCCACATTTGTTTGCCAGAGCCATAAAAAGTCCTGCCTCCCTCCAGGGGGCATGTAAATCCCAGTTGACCTTGCTACCACCCAGGAACTTGCCTTGGTATGTTGTTGTTATGTGCCATCCAGTCAGCCGACTCATAGCGACCCCTCCGGAGGGTTTCCGAGGCAGTATCACTACGGAAGTAGGATTGCCCAACCTTCCTTCCGAGGAGTGGCTGGTGGGTTTGAACCACCAGCCTTCTGGTTAGCAGTCAAGTGCTTTAGCTACTATGCTTGTAAGTAAGCTCTTAATAAACTCCTATATTACCATCATGGAGCTGCCAGCTTCATTCTTTGGTCTCATGGCACCTTAGGGAAATTTCAAGTTTCTCCTCTGTGCCCAGACACTCCCTCAAACTCTCTTTCTTCTCATTGACTTCTCCTTTCTGAGTGGTGGTGAAGAGCGTAAGTGGTAGAATCAGTTTTGGTTGGAATCTTAGCTTTGCCATTAGCTAGTTGTAGAATCTTAGCTAAGTTCCTCTACCTTTCTAACTCCATCTCTTCATTTCTGAAATGGAGATAAAACCTACTACCTCACAGAGTTAATTATGTAGAAAAAATGAGGTGCGATTTTAAAGCACTTAGCACAATGCCCAGAACACAAGTCCTGAATAAACAACAACCATTATTACACATTAGAACACTGGAGTGTCATTAGAATAAGGAATGTCACTACCTTTAAGCAGTTCTCCTTTGGAAGGTTAACTAGCATATGAGACTCACGGGAAAGGTACAGAAGATGGTAGACTAGACGGGGACACAGTTTCCGACAGTGCTTCTTGTGGGGGAATTTAATGTTTATTATATTGGATATTTTGCCATTCTTGGCATTTGTTTCACACTGGATGCTCAGGATGCTTTAATAATAACCAGAGCCAGTTGCCATCCAGTTGATTCTGATTCATGGTGACTCCATATGTGTTGGGGTAGAACTCTCCTCCAGAGTTTTCAATGGCTGCTTTTTGAGACATAGATCACCAGCCTTTCTTCTAATGTGCCTAACAGCTACAATTAATTAAGCTTTTATTATGTACCAGACATTGTGCTAAGCCCTATATGTGCATTATCTCATATAATCCTTGGATCAACCCTGTACATATTGTTAATTTCATTTTAAAGATGAAAAATTTGACACAGAGAAATATAAACCCAAAGTCACAGCCAATAGATAAGGAAGCTGGATTAAGAACTAGTCAGTAGCATAAAAATAAGTAGCTTAAAGCACACTGCTGAAAACATAGCATAGAATGCCATAAACTATCATATAATCCCTCTGGAGTTGAAGGAACACTAACATGATATGCATTTTAAAAGGAGAAAATTATAACTACAATTCATCTTACTGCTGAATAATAAACTCAAGGAATAATTTCCAATCTTAATCCCTCAGTGGGCAGTTACCTTTTAAAACCAAAAACCAAACTCACTGCCATTGAGCTGGATCTGACTCATAGCAACCTCCCCTAGGGTTTCTGGGGCAGTATCACTACGGAAATAGATTGCCCAACCTTCCTTCCTAGGAGTGGCTGGTGGGTTTGAACTGCCATCCTTCTGGTTAGCAGTCAAATGCCTTAGGCTGTGAAGTGAAAAAGCTACTGGGCAATCCTACTTCCGTAGTGATACTGCCTCGGAAACCCAAGGAGGGGTCGCTATGAGTTGGGGCTGACTCGATGGCACATAACAACAACAACAACATGCTTTACACACTTATTTTCTCATTAGTATATTCAGAAGATTGTGTCCTGAGGGAACAACAGAGTCAACTGTTGGCTCAGGGGAAAGAATGGAGCCACCAGTCAGAATGAGACAGAATTACCACCTGGGATTTCACAATCATGAACAGTCAAGAGAATGTTCACTCTGGGAAGGCATTAGATGACAGTCTTTACACTGGGTGATTTTCTTACCATGGGTGCCGAGCTGCTTGCTCACACGTGTATCTTTTATTTGGATCTTTCTCCATCAGATTCCGAATGAAGTCTTTAGCTGTTTAAAAAGAAAGTACAAAGGATGGAATGAATTTGTGGCTTGAGATGTGTCAACATGACAGTACCAGCTCTTTGAGAATAGTGTGTGTGGCATGGGAAATAGGAGGCCAGCCCTCTACTGATCCTACAGTACTTGGGACACAAAGGATAGGTGGTATTAGCACTTGGCAAAAAGGGAAGTCAAGGCTTGGGACACCAGGTAAGTGAGGCCTAGGATCCTGGCTCTCCAGCTCCAAGTTCCATCTCTCTAGCAGCCTATGACACCTTCTGTTCAAAGAAGAGATACAATATCTTTGTAATAATGTGCCTCTCATTGAGCTTACCACTGCCTGACAATGCTGTTTTGTTGATGTACCTACTTGTTTGCACATCACTGATCCAACAAAATTTTTTGAGCACCTACTAAGTCCACCAGTCCTGGGCTAGATGCTGGGGATGCAAAGCTTTCAAGAAGTACCATCTGCAGTCCATTTGTTGTCAGTAGCTAGCAAATCAGCTCCAACTCATGGCAAACCCATGTACAACAGAATGAAACACTGCCCAGCCTGTGCCATCTTCATAGTCACTGATATGCTTGAGTGCATTGTTGTAGCCACTGTGTACTGTGAGTGCCTTCCAGCCTAGGGGCCCATCTTCAGCACTCTACTGGACAATGTTCTATGGTGATCCACAGGTTTTCATTGGCTAATTTTAGGAAAGTAGATCACTAGGCTTTTCCTCCTAGTATGTCTTAATCTGGAAACTCTGCTGAAACCTGTTCACCATGGGTGACACGGCTGGTCTTTAAAAATCCAGTGGCTTGGCTTCCAGCAACCTAGCAACACAAGGCACCACAGTGCAACAAACTGATAGATGGGTGGCGAGCAGCCCACTTAGACTATTACAAATAAGTAAATAGGAACTTGCAATGCAATGAGATGAGCCCTGCTGGGGGATGTCAGGTGTGCTTTGCAGCCCAGAAGGAGGTATGACCGAGAAGCAGGACACTGAGAACATGAGGGATTGGGTCACAAAACTGAAGGATGACACCTGTGTACAAGGACCTAAGTCTACAGCATTCTAGAGCATGGTTGCTACTGTCCACAAGGTAGCGCCCTTCCTACCTCAGAATTAAAGTATTCCTCGTGCAGTATTTTTCTGAAAGCCTTTAGAATTTTCCTCTGGGCCCAGGTTTTAGAAGATTGAGGAAGCAAGCAGGTGTGTTTAGTTAGGAGGAAACAACATAAATAATAAAATTCTGTCACTTAAATAAAAATTGGTCATCAGAGGACACAAGGCATCAGTCCATATATTATTTCATTTGATGCTTACACAAACCTTCATGGCAGAGAGGGTGTTATTACCATCCTTATGTTATCAGTGAATAAACCGAGGCTCAGAGAGGTTTTGTCAAAATACTTGGGCCTTAGCTTTGATCTTTATCTCTGATGAAAAAATGACAAACTTCCCTGGGAACATTTAAGTACAACATAGTAGTTATGGTGTGGGCTCTAGAGTAAGAACTTGGGTTCAAATCCCAGCTATGCCATTTGCTAGCTGTGTGACTCTGGTCAAATTATTTAACCTTCTGGCATCTCCGTTTCCTCATCTGTCAAATGGGGATAATAATAAGACCCACCCAATAATTTGTCCTGAGGACTAAGTGAGTTAATACATATATAGAGCTTATAGTGCTCAGGACACAGTAAGTGCACATGTTGTTTCAAGCAGCTCTGGTGGTGTAGTGGTTAAAGCATTTAGCTGCTAACCAGAAGGTTGGCAGTTTGAAACTACCAGCTGCTCTGCAGGAAAAAGATGGGACAGTGTGCTTCCGTAAAGATTACAGCCTTTGGACACCCTTTAGGCAGTCCTACTCTGTTTTATAGGGCAGCCATGAGTTGGAATTGACTTGATGGCAGTGGACTTTGGAGCTTAATATTGTTTCATTCCTGGACCATCCTGACCCAGGATAGGAGTGGTGGATGGATGAGTTCCCCACCCCTCAGCCCCATTTGCATCAGATGGCCCCAGTCTCTCAGCTTTGCAAGTCAAACTCAAATATGTAGCTCATGAAGCTTCTACGGGAGCTTTGGGGCCCTTCAGACCCCTAGGGCCCAGGTCCCACTAGACCTGCCAGGGTCAGATGGTCTGGGTGTGGGAGTCCCAAACCACCCACTGAGAGCTGCCAGAGACCTACCGGAATCAGAGATGTCATCCCAGTAGGGGGAGTCAAATTCATATTCTGCCTTGAGGATCTGTTCAAAGAGTTTGGAGTCATTTTCATCATAAAAAGGAGGGTAGCCACAGAGCCTGGAAGACAAGGTGGTGTAAGAATCTGAAATTTCTTTCTATTAAAAGTGGTGGTTTTACATTTTGCCTGCAAGAAAGAGACATTTATCAATCAAATTAAAGAAACCTCTGCTGTGTATGCTGTAAATATAATGTCCTAGAAATCACACATTCTGTGGGTGTCAAAAAAGTAAAATTTTGATTTAGCAAATAGCAGAAATGGTTAACTCAGGCAACCATCAAAGAGAAGTATGTATATTTACATTTGTTGTAACTTGTTTGTACATTATTGACCATAAAGCCCAATATGCCCTTAAAACTTACCTGTGGTAGTTAAGGATATGTGTCAACTTGGCTGGGCAGCTTGATATAGTTATTCTCCATGATGAGACTGGTAATCAACTCCATGATGGAATCTACTGGAGCAGCTGAGTAGCTGCCGTAGGGATATGGTCTGCTTCTAGTATGTAAGCAGCAGCATTGAAAAAGGTCTCTGAGCTTTTTGGCATGCATGGACCCTGCATGTAGCCGAGTCTTCATTCAGCAGCCTGCCATGTTGTCTGCTGATTCCAGGATTGTTCCTGGACTTGAACCAGTGGCCTGCCATGTGGTTTGCTAATTTTGGGACTGTGTCATTTTCTTTGTCAACCTTGGGTTTGTCAGCCTCAACAGCTAGCCAAGTTAAAAAAGCCTCCAGCTTCAGTGGGCCAGGAGCAAGAGGCAGAGCTGAAGCCCAAGGTCTAAGGAGCTTTCACCTAACCTCTAGAGCTGGCACTTTGAATTCAGACTTCTAGCCTCTTAAACTGTAATAGAATAAACTCCTGTTTGTTAAACCCATACATTTGTGGTAAATGTCTGTTACAGCAGCACTAGATAACCCAAACACTACCAAACAACCTTCTTTGTATAAATGTTATTCTTTTCCGTGAGTGTAACCTAGTACATGGTGAGTTGATAGAAAACAGACATACTAAATATATGTTTAGCATACACTTCAGGACCCTCCCAGGCTCATTTTATTTAAAAAAAATCATCATAGGAAGAAATTCTACAACCTTGTTGCTGTAGCAGCCCAAATCTATACATTATCATTCCACTATGCTCAAATTAAAAGGGGTCTGGTGGTAGAGTGGTTAAGGCACTTGGCTGCTAACCAAAAGGCTGGGTTTCGAGCCCACCAGCACTCCCTGGAAGAAAGATGAGGCAGTTTGCTTCTGTAGATTTACAGCCTTGGAAAACCAATGTGGATCACTGTGAGTTTGAATCAAATCGATGGCAGTGTATTTTTATTTATTTATTTTCTTAGTTTAGGCCCAAATTGGGTATTTGAAGGATTATAGTCTTGTCCATTAAGGAGTCCTGGTGGGCAACAGGTAAGTGCTCAGCTGCTAACTGAAAGGTCAGTGGTTTGAATCCACCCAGTGGCTCTGCAGAAGAAAAGATCTGGCGATGTGCTCCGATAAAGGTTACACCTAGGAGACCCTGTAGGGCAGTTCTACTCTGTCCTCTAGGGATGTCATAAGTCAAAACTGACTAGACAGCAAACAACAACAACAGTCTTACCCATTCATATGCGGTATCAGCAGGAGTTGGCACAAATTATAATACAGTACTACCATAACACTGTCATCCATTTCAACTACTGAATCATCTTAAAGTTGATTTTTAAAAGATCATATTAAGATGCTGGTGCAAACCACTTAAAGTTCTCGATGTACCAATATGCATCTGACAAATGTAATAGGAGATGAAATTTTGATGAAATATCCTAAATATAATTCATTCCATAAAACCATGAATTCTCATTCCAGTTCCGCTCTCAGTTCCAAAGCAACTTTTGTTGTTGTTAGGTGCCATTGACTCAATTTTTGACTCCTAGAGACCCAATGTGACAGAACAGAATTGTCCCATGGGGTTTTCTAGGCTGTAATCTTCTGGGAACAGATCACCAGGTCTTTCTTTTGTAGGATCTGTTGGGTGGGTTCGAACCCCAACCTTTTGGTTAGTAGCCTAACACATTGTGCCACTAGGGTTCCTTAATGTGACTTTCAATTGACCATTAGCACATTTTTTGGGGGCCTAAATTTTCTCATCTAAAAATGAAGAGGCTGGACTCAAAATTTTCTAATATTCTTTCTGGCTTTGAGATGCTGTAGCTCTGTGGCTCCCTTCTCCCAATTTGTCTGGCTGGATAAAGCCTTAGGAAAAGACCTTGTGCATGCTGGAAGCACATGGGGGTAGGAGCAGGCTCTGGCTGGGAACTGGAGAGATGGGAAGGGTGGGCTTGAGGCTGTAGTGGTATATGATCAACAGAGCACAAGGCAGGTGGGGGGCTTGATTTTGTAAGCAGACGCACCAAGTTGAATGGCATAGATCTCAGCTCTGGGGCCTCAACAACCCAGAGGGTGACAGTCTCAGTGGGAGTTCTGTTGTCAAATGAGCCCTAATTTTTCCGTAAAGCCAAACTTTGTTCAAAACATAGCTCCAGCCTAGAGACCAATTAAATGAGAACAAATGAACAGGAATCAACAGACTCCAGGTCTGTGAGAGATTGGGCTATTGGCAAAAAAGAAATTTAACAAAAGCCTAGAAAAATAACCTCAGTTCAGTCATTCTTCAGGTCCCTCCTGCCCTGAGACTCAATATCACTGGGCCACTGCTGTGTAGGGGAATGGTTGATGACATTTGTAAAGGCTATGAGACATTCTGTGGGCTGATAAGATTCAAAATCATCTATCCCCACAAGGTTGAATTAGGGACTAAGTGCCTGGAAAATTTCACTTGTTGCTGCTTTTGGCTAAATGAAGAAGACTCAGTGCTTCTGCAACCACGAAGCACATATTTCACTGCCCAAGGAAACCCTGAATCCGGAGATGGGTATGTAAATATTTCCCATAATGAGGACTTGGGCTAGATGAAATGTGCATATTAGGAAAGGTGCTAGGCTACTAACTGGAAGGTCTGTGGTTTGAACCCACCAGCTGCTCCATGGGAGAAAGATGAAACCATCTATTTTCATAAAGGTTACAGTCTTAGAAACCCTATGGGCCAGTGCTATCCTGTCCTATAGGGTTGCTGTGAGTCAGAATCGACTTGATGGCAATGAATCTTTTTTAAATTATTATTAGGAAAGGCAGGCAGAGGGAAATGTTACTTTGTTTTGGAAAAACTAGATTTTAGGTAAGTGAAGTTTTTGTTTATTAACAACTGAGTGTGTTTTACTTTATCATTTGTCTTTCTTTTTAAGAAAAAAAAAAGTCTTTAAGAAAATTCCAAGAAAGAGTTACTCTTCTTGTGCCAACTGTCTTAACATGTATTCCAACTTTTTTGGCCTTAGCTCCTTTTGTATAGAATACCGTGTTAATGCGGCTGTACTGAAGAAATGGTCGTAGCTTTGAGCAGAGCATGTTGTTGTTGTTGGCTGCTATCAAGTTGGCCTCGGCCTCACGGTGACCCCAAGCAAACCGAATGAAACACTGCCTAGTCCCATACCATCCCCTTGATCAGCTGTAGACTGGACCACTGCAATTCATTGGGTTTTCACTGGCTGATATTTAGAGGTAGATCACGAGACCTTTCTTTCTAGTTAGTCTCAGTCTGGAAGCTCCCTGAAACCTGTTCAGCATGATAGCAACATGCAAGCCTCCATGGACAGATGGGAGTGGCAGTGCATGAGGTGCACTGGCTGGGAATCGAGCCCAGGTCTCCTGCACTAAAGACAAGAATTCCACCCCTGAGCCACCACTGCCCTCAGCTTGCAGTGTAAGTAAGTTAAAATGAAGAAAGGATTTTAAAATAAGAATGACAAATGGACAGAAGTGCAAACCATTGTAAAATCATGCTCAGATCTAGAAATCTCGGAGAGCATTTCATAGCCAGGCTATTTCATGAGAAAGTCCGTGTGGAGGGAGGCAGCCAACTAGGAGAGGGAACAACTTTGGGCTGTTTAGCTTCACAGAGCATGTGGACTGTCAAGGTCCTACCTATTTGTACTTGTCATAACTATGTTCTTTACTAATGTTTCTGAAGCATGACTTATTTTATATATTAAACCATTTAAATAATCTACAAATGATATCTCCATGGGTATTCAAAGACAATAAAGCCACTCTTAACTTTTCTAAGCCTAAAAGTTTATGGTTCATACTATCTAAATTTCCCAACACAAAGACTGTTGTTTTGGTTATCTAGTGCCTTTCCAATAGAAGTACCACAAGTGGGTGGCTTTAACAAACAGGGGTTCATTCTCTTACAGTTTTAGAGGCTAGAAGTCTGAGTTCAAAGTGCCAGCTAGGTCTAGGGGGTGGGTGAAAGCCCCTCAGCCTTGGGCTTCATCTCTGCCTCTGGCTCCTGGCCCACTGAAGATGGAGGCTTGCTGCTAGCTGCTGAGGCTGACAAACCTGAGGTCAACAAATAAAATGGCACAGTCCCAAAATTACCAAACCACTTGGCAGGGTCACTAATTCAAGTCCACTGACCGTCCCAAGATTGAGAGACAACATGGCAGCCCACTAAGATGGAGATTCAGCTATATGCAAGGTCCAAGCATGCCCCAAACTCAGAGACCTTTCTCAAAGCTGCTTCTTATATACTAGAAGCAGACCACATCCCTAAGGCAGTGACTCAGCTGCTTCATATTCCACTATAGAGTTGATCACTAATCTCATCAAAACCAGGCCCAGCCAAACTGACATACAGCTTAACTACCACAACTGTCATACTCAAATGCTTCAAAGGACAGTTCATTGCCTCTATTCCAGCCGTAAGCCTATTTTCCAGAAGTACTGTTTTATCTTTCCAGTCTTTCCTGTTGTTTAGTTTGTCATCTCATCTACCAGTGGCATATTTACACAAATATACTACTAGATTCTAGTTTGTTTTTCTAGTTTAACCTTGAGCAAGCTCTTGTGTGTCTAGAACTCCACTAAGAGATTTACAGCATTACGTCACTTAAACTTCACCTCCCATGAAGTAAGTAGGCCAGACATCTTCACTTCACCAGACACATGAGTTTTTGAACT